GCAACCGGGACAGAATCCGGCGCCCCAACCAGGACTAGAACCTGGGGTGCCAGCGCTGCAGGTGGAGGATTAGCCTAGTAAGCCACGGCGCCGGCCACCCTTTTTTTTTTTTTTAAAAAAGATTCATTTATTTATTTATCTGAAAGGCAGAGATGGGGGTGTAAATCTTCCATCCGCTGGTTCACTCCCCAAATGGCTGCAACAGGCTGAGAGTGGGCCAATCCGAAGCCAAGAGCTTCTTCCAGGTCTCCCACATGAGTGCAGGGGCCCAAGCATTTGGGCTATCCTCCACTGCTTTCCCAGGCACATTAGCAGGGAGGCAGATCAGAAGTAGAGCAGCTAGGACTTGAACGGTGTCCACATGGGATGCTGGTGGGATGCCGGTGTCACGGGCAGAGGCTTTACCTGCTATGCCGCAGCACCGGCCGCTTGATTCCATTCTTCTATACACAATTTGAAGTACCCTTGAGTCTATCTATATACTTATAATGAACAACTGAAAAATGAGAAAACAATTCCACGCCAGGAATAAAATAGGAATAAATAACAAAGTAAATATAAAACTTTTACTCAGAAAACTGTAAGACATTGTTGAAAGAAATCTAGAAAAATCTAAATAAATGGAAAAACGTTCTGTAACTGGATTGAAAAACTTAATAATGTTCAGACAGCAAAACCCTCAAGTTGATGATCTGCAGATTGAATGCACTCCCTGTAATTACTCCAGTAGCTTTTTCTGCAGACATTGACAACCTGGTGCTAATGTTCACACGGAAAGTAAGCAGCCAGCAAAGCCAACACAACTGTGGAAAAGATAAAGGTTGAAGACTCAAACTTCTTCATTCCACAATTTATCAAAAAGCTACAGTAATCAAGAGAAGATGGTATCAGTTTTTTCTTTTCAAAGATTTAATTTTTACTTATTTGAAAGGCACAGATACAGAGAGAGGAGGAGAGACACAGAGAGAGAGAGAGAGAGAGAGAGAGAAATCTTCCATCCAGTGGTTCACTTCCCACATGGCTGCTGCAACAGCAGGGGCTGGGCCAGGCCAAAGCTAGGAGCTCAGAGCCTCCTCCAGGTCTCCCACTTGGGTGCAGGGGCCCAAGGATTGAGGCCACACTTCACTGCCTTCCCAGGTGCATTAGCAGGGAGCTGGACTGGAAGCGGAGTAGCCGGGTCTTGAACAGGTGCCCATATGGAATGCCAGCATCACAGACAGAGGCTTAACCTACTGTGCCCCAGCACCCCAGTGGTACCAGTCTTAGGCCAGATATTCACATCAAGGGAGCAGGAGAAACGAACCCTTACCTTCAGAGTCAAATGACTTTCGACTAGCGTGGCAAGACATTTCAACGGGGAAAGAAAATTTTCAGCAAATAGGGCAAAAGCCTCATGTGAACCCCTCCCTTATACGATACACAGGCATCAAGTCAAAATGGATCATAAGCTATGAAACCCAGGAGACCCCATGCACACTTCCTCGGGTGGTTGCTAGCAAAGAACAGAAGTGACAGTGCCCGCAAGGATGTGGAGAAACTGGAACCTTCGCACACTGCTGGTGAGATCCACAGAGGTGCAGCCGCACGGGAACACAGGCGGGCGGTTCCTTAAAACGCTGAACATGGAGTTCCCGCAGGAGCGAGCTATTCCACTCCCCGGTGTCACCAACACAAATGCAGCCGCAGGTCACTCAAGACGTCGCACGGCAGCATTATTCCTAGCAGCCAAACAACACGAACAACCCAACCGTCTATGCACTCGGAGAGAACGAAACGAGCACAGCCATGCAACAGGCTAATACTGGACAAAAAGAGAAATTAAAGCCCACTGAACTGTACACTTCTCACGGGTGAAACGTGTGGTGTACGGACTGTATCTCAATAAAAGCATGAAGAAATGAAATGCACGCCAAGTGTGCAACCAGGGCTGCAGGGCCACAGTGAGGGCTGTCTGGGTCAGCCGCTGGCAGGACGCCAGGGCGACAGTGAGGTGTGTCTGATACGTGCATCTGCTCAGCCACACACATGGTCTCCACATGAGCCACTGGGCCAGGACTGGTGACGTCTCACGGTGATCAGAGCAGTGTGGTCAGGGCCAGGACAGCCTGGAGGGGTCTCACCACTATGTGGGAGCCGCGCAGGGAGCTCCCCTGGGTGGGGGTGCTGGGGAAGGCGGGGAAGTACCCCAAGCAGGGAGCAGGCAACACCTTTTGGACCATGCTTAGAGGACAGCGAATGCAGAAAAGACCAGGAGTTTTTCAGGAAATGAGGACAGAAGGAGAAAACGTGAACAGAGGAAAAAGGATGCCAACAGGACATCCTGGTGGTTAAAAACAAAACAAAAGCCAAAACAAAGACAAAGTGACACTGGAGGCGGTGCTGGGGTTCAGCAAATTAAACCGCCGCCTAGAGCATCAGCATCCAATATGGGCGCCAGTTCCAGTCCCTGCTGCTCCTCTTCCAATCCAGCTCCTTGCTTATGACCTGGGAAAGCAGTGGAAGATGGCCCAAGTGCTTGGGCCCCTGCACCTGCCATGTGGGAGAGAGAGGTGGATAAAGTTTCTGACTTTGGCCTGGGCCTGGTCCAGCCCTGGCTGCTGCGGCCATTTGGGGAGTGAACCAGTAGATGGAAGATCTCTGTCTCTCCCTCTAATTCTGGCTTTCAAATAAATAAATAAATCTTTAAAAAAAAAATAGTGACACTATTCACTTTCTTTTTAACACCCAAACACACCCCTAAGAAAGAAATTAGGGGCAAAGAAGAGGACCCATCAGGACTGATATTTATATGGAGGGAAAAAAAGCAAAACAATTAATTAGAATTCTTTAATAAAATATTCCTACCTTTCATGAGTCACGTTGTACCTCATTTTTAGGAGTTGAGACTGAGAAATCTACAGCGTTTAGTTACTGCAGCATAACTTAGAAATGCAAATAGTAATAAGAATGATAGATACCATTTACTGAGTATTATATGGCCAGAACTGTTCATTGTCTCCTAGTCCAAAAGTAGACAGTATTTTTAAAAAATCTTATTTTGGGGCCGGCATTGTGGCGTAGCAGATTAAGCCGTGACCTGTGATACCGGCATGCCAGCTGAGCAATGGGTTTGTATCCTCGCTGCTCCACTTCCAATCCAGCTCCCTGCTATGGCCTGGCAAAGCAGCGGAAGATGGCCCAAGTGCTTGGGGCCCTGCACCCACATGGGAGACCTGGAGGAAGCTCCTGGGTTCTGGCTTCGGCCTGGCCCAGCTCTGGTCATTGCCATTTAGGGAGTGAACCAGGAGATGGAAGATCCCTCTCTCTCTGTCTCTCCTCTCTCATGTAACTCTATCTTCAAAATAAATAAAACTTTTTTTTTTTTTTAAATCTCACTTTAAAGATTAGGAAGCTGATGTACAAAGAGGTGAAATGACTTGCCCAGGGTGGAAATTTACAAGTGGCAGCTGAAAGCTGAATTCAGAGGCCCGATTCTCAAATCCACTTTGCACCCCAGCTGTGTGCCCCAAGTGTACCATGAGAGATGCACAAAACGACTCCAGGTGGAACAAACTGGGCCGTCTGACAATTTATCATTCACCAACAGAGCTAACGTATGCATTTCACGATAAGGTCACATTTCGGCCAAGGATGGATTTCCTAGATGACGGTGGTCCCCGAAGATGACAATGGAATTGAAAAATGCCTATCACCCAGAGATGCCATAGCCACTGTGGTGCCCACACTCTCACGGCCTGCAGCACTGCTGGTGTAAACCCAGGGTGACAACAACCGATGGCGGTACGGGTTACCTGTCCCCTGCGGGATTTACCGTGACTCACAGCGTGCTCCTGGGTGCGTGCGACGCAGGCAGCAGCCTCCTCTCGCTGGTGGTTACAGAGTCCCCTGACCGCATCACGGCCCCGTCCACCAGCTGACCTGCCCCATCCCGGTTATCAGGGGAACTCTTAGGATGCTCGGCCAAGTGTCTCCGTTGTTATGTGACACGTGACTATCATTACATGAAAGCTTTTGTTTGAGATAAACACATAAAAACCATCACTCAAGTTTTTAAAAGACGACGATCATGACCGGGAAGGAATATAGGAGAATAAAAACAGCCTGATTTGCTGAGGTGATCTTTTGAGTACTTTTTTTCTCCCTCTTGAAAACTCGAGCAAGTGTAGGGACCAGCGCTGTGGCACAGCGAGTTAAGCCTCCTGCTGCAGGGCCCATATCTCACAGGGATGCCAGTTCGAGTCCCGGCTGCTCCACTTCTGATCCAGCTCCCTGCTAATGGCCTGGGAAAGCTGCTGATCACGGCCTGAGTGCTGCACCCACACCCACATGGCCTGAGTGCTTGGGCCCCTGCACCCACATGGCAGACCTAGATGAAGTTCCTGGCTCCTGGCTTTGGCCTGGCCATTGCGGCCATCTAGGGAGGGAACCAGCAGATGGAAGATTCATATTCTCTCGCTCTCTCTCTGTCACTCTGCCTTTCGAATAAATAAAATAAATCTTAAGAAGGAATTCCCTGACTTTGCCAGATTTTCTTTTTCTTCATCGTCTCCTCTCTTAGCTTGGAGCTCCAGGCCACTTCCACTCTATGAAAAGCCCAGACATTTGTTTTGAGGCAAAGGCCCACAGCGCATCTGGTAGGCATATGCAAAGAAGTGCTTAAACAGCAAGGCTACAGGAATGCCACTCGAGTGGACCCCATCTCTGGCACCCAAAGAAAGACACTCCAACCAGCAGAGGGGAACGGCTATGTTTCATCCTGAAGACCCCAAAGGGCCACACACCCAGCCCGGACCCTGTGTCTCCCAGGACGAGACACCTCTGACTCCCTGGACATGAGACAGGCAAACAGGACCACCTCTGGCTTTGAGAGAGGGGGACAGACTCAAGAACTCTGCGGACCCTGAGGCAAAGCCCTCTGATGGCCGGGCGGCCGCTGGACCCTCCATCCACCTCCGGGGGCCTGCCAGCCAGCCGCCCGGGGCCAAGGACGCCACACCCACCTGTGCATGTTCCCGTTGGTGGTGAAAGACTGGCCACACACAGTGCACTTGTAAGGCCTCTCGCCAGAGTGGACCAGCATGTGGCGATCCAGGGAGCTGGCCGAGCTCAGCGACTTCCCGCAGATGCTGCACGAGTGGTCAGCTCCTCCAGTGTCCGTGTTGTGCTGCGGGAAGCAATTACAGCAGTGGTCACTCGAGGAGGGCAGGCCCGGCACTTTGCAAATGAGGTCTGCAGCTTCCTTGCAGGCCAGGGAAGCTTCTCATGAGGTTCCCCCCTCCCCACCCGTTTCATTAGAAGTATCTTCCCAAAGGGCCCAAGTCTACCAGGAACACAGGCAAACGGAGTGTTCTGTAAGATCTTCCTCCATCCCCATGTTCCGGTTGTGAAATGCCTCCATGGCGAGGCTCACAGAGGCACAGCAACGGGGCAGGTGTCTCTCATCAGCCAACCGCATACATCAATGCCTCTGAGTAGCACGCAGCTACGAGGCCAGTACAGGAAGCAGGGTCCTCGCAGGGGGAGTCGACGTCCGCTCCGCAGGTCTGATGACTCAGGCCTGCTGGCGGAGAAGAGGGAACTGAAACCTGCACCCAGCAGAGGGTTTTGGCCCGTGACACATGGGAAGAAGGGACACTTCCATCCAAGTTCAAGCTCCCGCGGGTACTGAGGAGTATGCTGCGATCTTAATAGCCGGGGTTCTGTGCTCATGCATCATCAATCAGCCTCCGCAGGAGAGGGCGAAGGACACATCTTACAACAGAGAAGGCCAGAAGCACTCCCTGCTGCAGGACCTGCGTGTACAGCAGAGTAAAGGGGAGGACACCTACAATCTCACGTGTTGCAAGGAGATTCCGTTCCCACTGGCGAGCCACACACCACGTAGTCTTCCGCTCGCACAGGTGAGCAGGGAACTAGACGCTTGCTGCATTCTGTATTGACCACGATTATGCCCACACCGCTCCCTGGGATCATTAAGCTATCCAGTGTGGGTCGGCGCAGCCACAGTTCACCTGCCGGAACCCTCTGTGAAGGCAGGGTTCTTTCACACACACACACACACACAGGCAGCACCAACCTGACGGATGTGCATAGTCAACTGATGCTGAGTAGTGCAAATCTTCTCACACAGGGGGCAGTTATAGGAAGACTTCTCCTCTTTCGTTTCCTGAAAAGAGATGAAAAGGGAAGATGAACTTCAGATCACAGGAATCAACTGTCTTCTATTTCTTGACCAGCCCCGAGTCTTAGACAGCTGAGAGCCCCAGTCTATGGCCATGCAGGTTTGACGCTGGGCAAGACGCCCTCCTGTCTACCTCAGCTTCCTCGTGGGCAAGATGCGAAACATCACAGCACCTACCAAATCGTGCTGTGATGCAGGCTGAGTTAACCAACACAGGTAAGAGCACCGGCTCAGTGTGCAGTAAGTGCTCAATAAACGGTGTTCTGCCCGTGCAGGAACCACCAACTTCGTCACTGCAGATCAAGTCACGGCTCAGCCAGGACAGGAACACATCTGTCCCCAAGTCCACCTCGGGCTCGGGGGACTACTTTCTACAGCGTCTTGAGGTCTCCAGGAACACAGGAGAGGTAAGGACGTTCCTGGGAGCCCTCGGTGCCTGGCATGAGCACAGCAGGGCTGCTTTGCTCATGGACAGCACTTGTTACACCCTGCTCATAAGCCAGGGTGAGACAGCAGAGGTGGGCGGGGCTTGGGGTAAAGATGCCCACGTCCCACGCGGAGCACCTGGGCTCAACTCCTGGCTCTAACCCCCGACTCCAGCTTCCTACCATGAGGATGCTCAGGGACTAGCATCAGCGGGTTTTCAAACGTGAGCAGACCCCCTGGGGAGCCTTTGGAATCGTACATGTCTAGTCTGGATTCTTACGAGGCTTTTCAGAATAATAGGGGGAGGGGGAGGGCTAGAGAGTGTGAACCCCAGAAATCTGCGTCTCATGAGCTCCCCAGAAGACGCTGACACTCACAGGCACCGAGGTTTGGGGACGGCAAGGTCCCGAGTTCCTGGAGCTCTCACGCAAGTCCCGGGCCCAAGAAGCCAGAGAGTGGTTGCAGAAGATGCCTGGGCTCCCACCTGGGAGCCCCCGGGGGCCGGGGAGGGCCAGGGAGGGCCGGGAACCCTGGCCACAGACGTCTTTCAACAGAACTGAGTTTACGAGCACTTGCGCTCATTCACACGAGTTTCTGTTCCTGGCAAGTAACAGCAATTATTGAGCACTTACTATGTGCTAAATTCTGTGTATTTAGATAGGTCAAGGTTTTCCCCGCTGCCACGGTTACGGATCCCGTTTTCTGGACAAAGAAACCAGGTTCCAGCCAGGCAAGAAACCTGCCCCAAATCAGAGAACCATTCAGTAGCAGACTCAGGATTAAAACTCCAGCCAGGTGCCCAGGAGCCCAATAACCTAAACCACGATGCTATATAAAGTTCAACCCAAAAAAAGGATTCAACCCCAAGGCACAGAAAGGAAACACACTTGTGGTTGCTCATGAGAGATGATGAAAATAAAAATCACCCTGAAGACCATAAAAACAAATGGCACCATAAGCCAGATGGGTGGAGTGAACACAGGATGATGTCTGCTTTGTAGCTGCCTCGTCTCTCCGCTCTCTCCTCTGTGGGACTGGCTCTCAGAAGCAGGCAGGCCACACAGCTGCTTACTCTTGAGTTTTCAAAAATGAAGAAAGTGAATTCTAATGAGGTACAACACTCCAGAGACAGTTGGGGAAAAAAAAAGATCCCTACACACTGCGAATCCTCAGAAGGGTAAAGGGTGTGTGTGTGTGGGGGGGGGGTGTCACGTGGCCCAGGCCCAGTTCTACAACCACAGGCAGGAAAGGGCGGCCAAGGACCTGCACTGCGGGAAACAAAGCAGCAGCAACGTCGGGGCACAGTAGTAACAGGGACGTCCCACGGCCGGCCGGCCGGACAAGGTAAAACCAAGAAATCCAACCCCTGGACACTTCTGTTCAATTGTAAATTAGCAATGATAAATATTTTTTAAAAATTTGTTTTTTAAGGCCAGACTCCCTCGTACGTTATAAATACAGGTTACGAAATCAAGTCCACAAACGGCCTGCCTCTTGATGAGAGACTTGTTTTCAAGAAGGCACAGTGAGTTCACCTGGAAGTACACGCAAGACCCTGTGGCCGCTGGGGGTAGGGGCCTTGGCACTGGCGTTGGAGTGGATCCTGGACGGACAGGCACACCTGTGCTGAGGCTGGCCACAGGGCTTTGGGAACCGCACCACAGCGCAGGTGCACAAAACCCCAGGTGCTCTGGGAACAGGACTGCCCCCTGAGCAAAGACACCCCTCCTGGCCCCTCATCAGTAGGGCTGGAAGGGGCCCCGTGGAATCGTGAACCGGTCACTGCGGCCGTGCTGGTGGAAGGAGCAGGCTTCCTGGGCTGATACAGTTGGCAGCTAATGTGATAACTAGCCATTCCACAATAAAGCGATCCGGCAGCCCTGGCTGATCTGTCCTGGACTCTGTACTCTCTGACGGGCTTTGCCCAGGCCCTCGCAGTGCCTCCCTGTCCGCTCACAGGTGAGGGGGCCCCGACCTGCCCTGCGCTGTCCTAGACGATGCAGGCATCTACCAGGCTTCCTTGGGCTCGGAGCTCCCGATCCCTGCGGCAGGAGTGGATGAGACGAGGCCCAGGCACACCTGCCCACCTGCTCCCTCACCCTGCAGAAGTGACCTCCACCCAGCAGGCAGGGACAGGAGGGGCTGCGGGCAGCCTGCACGGTCCCCAGCCACCATCTCTGATCAACCGGGAAGGGGCCGGGGCCTGGACTGGAGCCAACCCTCTGCTATGTAAGGGAGAGCTTTCTTCCCTTCCGCTCATTCCCGGCAGAGAAGGGCGAGGAGGACCCTTCTCGTGGGTCTCACTCGGCCTGGCCGTATCAGCACCTGGCACGGGGGCCGGCTGAGGTCGGAGCTGGGCAGACAGCAGGGAAGGGGGATGGATGGGGTGGATGGGGGGGATGGAGGGATGGGCGGTGGACAGTGACGCGAGAGCGGAAGTACACCTTTTCTTCCCACAGCTAGTGCTCCATCTCGACTCGGGCCACAGCCGCAGAGGCTGAGCGTGTTCTTGGACACCCACAGGAAGAGGCAGGCAGAGAGAGGGAAGAGAGAAAGAGAGAGAAAGGTATCAGTGCTCCAGCGCCAAGACCCCTCCGGGCTCCGCAAGACCTCAGCCTTGAGCAAGACGTGCACTCCTGCATGGCCGGCACCCCTTGTCCCGGAGGGCGAGCTGTATCAGAAGGCTTCGTTAAGGATGGAAGAACTGGTAGAAAACCATCACCGATGTGTCCAGGCAATTCAGTCCAGGCGCAGTCTCAGTTTACCAGTAACAGATATGGTTACTTCACAAAAGCCCAACAGGACTGCTCTCTGGTCCAGCCCTCCCTGGGACCTGGACAAGCCCAGAAGTCCACTCCCCACCACGGGCTTGAGATAACCCCATTCAATCCGGTACACCAGAAATGACACACGAGGAAGTCAACTCGTACCCTGCAGATCCGGAAGAAACAGCAATCACTCGCCTCCGCCTCCCGCCTCAACCTGCCCGTGCCGCCTCGAGAGAGGAGCAGCTTTTCCACAGCGCCTCATCGGCCACTGCTGACAAGTTCCATCAGCGTCTGCCCTTCCTCCCAACCTTTGCCCACCGCCAACTCTCTCCCACGTCCCCCTGGTCCCAGGCTCACTGGACATTCCAGATGACTAACCAGCATCTTAAGTGGAATAATCCAGCGCTAAATTCCATGTGTTTTCAAGGGCGGAAAACTGAGTGGCTGTCCCAGCTCAAGCAGTTCTTACTGGCTACCTAATTTGAAGATAATAAAAATAAACAAGGGGCCGGCACTGTGGCACAGTGGGTTAACGCCCTGGCCTGAAGTGCCGGCATCCCATATGGGCACCGGTTCCCCAGCTGCTCCACTTCCTGTCCAGCTCTCTGCTATGGCCCAGGAAAGCAGTAGAAGATGGCCCAACTCCTTGGGCCCCTGCACCCGCGTGGGAGACCCGGAATAAGCTCCTGGCTCCGGATCGGCACAGCTCCAGCCGTTGCGGCCACCTAAGAAGTGAACCATCGGATGGACGACCTGCCTCTCTCTCTCTCTCCCTCTGCCTCTCCTCTCTCTGTGTAACTCTGACTTTCAAATAAAGAAATAAATCTTGAAAAATAAAATAAATAAGTAACCAAGGAGGTGGCATTGAAAACCCAGGCCACCAGCCGTGTGAATAGGAAACAAACCACACCACGGCACAGGCATCAGGAGTCTGCCAGGGACCAAGAATAAGGGTGCTCTCTCCGACGCTTCTGCTGCCACAAAGTACATCTCCATGGAAGGGACTGACCCGGCTCAGAGACCTCCCCCCCGAGAAGTGACATGGGCCTCGGGTGTGGCCCAGACCTTCACTGAACCCACAGACGTCACCGCCCCGCACACGGATGCCTACCTGGTTCCTTCTGCCGATCCGATTTGGTCCCGGAGGCTTTGCAGGGGACTTGACGCCCTGGGGGCTGGCGCCATTCTCGGCGACTTTCCCTACGCTCATCACCGCTGACATCATGGTGTTGATGGAAGACAGATCTGAACCTTCCAGGCCAACAGGCGACCTCGACGTCATTGGGACAGGGGATTAAGCTTCTAAGAAGCCTCTGCCATAGAACTGAAAACCGGAAACCGTGGTTGTGATCCCATGGTCGTTCAGGCTTCGGTCTCAGCCAGGTGCTGGCCAGGCCTACTCTAACTCTCTCCTTCCCCAGGGCAAGCCCACGTTTCATATCCGGACCTATCTAAGCGTTCATCTAAATCAAGGCACACCAAAGGCTCATCACGGACCCTGCTTCCTTTCTGCGGGTCTGTGTTGTCTGAAGTCAGGGTCTCTGCCCTCCCTAACTTTGCAAGGGGGCTGCCATGGAGCCAGCAGCTTCCTAACAACCTGTGCACAGGTGCTGCGACCTCGACGCTCCAGATCTAAAAGCCAACACAAGCGATGCAGGCTGTGTGTAGCCACTGGTGCAGCACAGCGCTCTCAACGTGGCATCCATGCTTTCTAAGAGGCCAAAGCCAGCGCTGTCAGAATGACAACCACGTTTCAAAGTGACAAAAGACCAAAACCTGGCTCCTTAACATGTCGAAGTAGGTAAGAGACCTACGCCCCCAGGAAATGGAGAGAAACCCACCCCCACGGCCGGTTACCTCCATTTTCCGCCCCGACTGACACACTAGGAAATGCTCCCTGCTATAGCTATCGTCCGGTGGAACAGGAAATGAGTATGCGCCTGCTTCTTTTCGCTTCTCTTCGTATTCACTCGTTGACGCTGCAAGGGAGACAAGGGTAAAAGATTCAGCCCGCGTCTTTTATTTAGAGAGGAGAACACCAACACGTTTGCCGTGACCTCAGCTCTGATCAGGGAAATGCACGGAGCGCCAGCGAGAGGCGACGTGTCACTAAGAAATGCTCCCAGGCCTCCCCTCCGGTTCTGCCACGGCCACCCCCACAGCCCAGGGTGTGCGGACTCCACACTGGCTTCCCTACTGCGTCCCCGTGCCCCACAAGGACTCTCAGAGCCTGCCCCTGGGCCCACCTCATTTGCTACCCAGAAAGTGATCCAAGACACTCAGTAGAGGCCAGGCAGTGTGAGGTGGGACTGGCAGGGACACGCGTCAGCACGCCCTCCCCCAGGGCTGCTCCGAAACTCCTCCCACGCCCCTCAGCAACCTGAAATCACTGACTGCTGAGCCTCTGCCCCAGGTGCAGCTGGAGTCCATCCAGCATGGCCGCCGCCTGCACCCAGAGGTGACGTCTAGCCCGTAAGTCTCACGGCACAGCTGACGTCCTGACACTTACAACAAAAACACCCAGAAATTGGACAGTCACCAAATTCCTGGAAATCCCCACCCCTTCCTGGAAAACCCCACCCAAAGCACCCCACTCCTCTTCCGGTGCCTCCAGTTCACCGACAAGGATGAGCCGGGACCTTGTGGCGTGCCACCCACTCTCAGGTGAATCCAACTCTCTTCTAGCCTTTACCCGCGTCTCGGCTTCCAATTCTGTGCACTGCAGACAAGAGCCTGGGTCCCACAGCACACAGCCCATCCGGGAGGAGTGTGCAGCCCACTCCCCGCCCTGCCAGCCACACGGCCTGAATATCCCATCATGTACATGGCACACAGCTGCTAACGGACCGCCAATAGACCCCACCAGCCTACACAGCCGCCTAAGACATCTCGGCTCTAGAGAGGAGGCTTAGAAATGACGAGAAACAGCATGACTCCTTGTGGTTTCCTCCTGTAGCTTCTGAGACGGGATCTAGGATAGGACAAGCAGCGGCACCCAGGGCTGGCCCAGGCGCGCACGTCCACCAGCACAGCGGGGGGGGCCAGGAGACAGGGACGTACTGCCCAGCTCAGGGGTCCCGGGCTGAAATCCCACCAGGAGGCCCAAAGACAATCTTTTCTTTTTTTTAATCAAGAGACAAAAAAGATTGTGCCTTCCTTGCTGCTCTGTACGGTTTCAATGTGTCCTCCAGAAAGCCAGGTGCTGCAAACTCAATCCCCAAATTGGTAGTTTATGGTGTTTGGGGGCAGGCCCTCGGGGGGTCCTCAGGAGTAAATGAGGTGACAAGGAGGGACCCCACTACGGCCTTAGAGGTCACCCAGGAGCCCAGCTGCCAGGGCCACGCCCCTGAACTTCAGAGCCTCTGTTATTTGTACATTACATGGCCTGGGTTTTCAGACACACAGAAAGCGGGGTGGGCCGTCCGTGCACAGACATCCCGAGGATAGTTTCCCCCAGGCCAGGTACAGCGACGCTGCAGGAGCCAGCCTGTCTACCCCAGCCATCCCGTAAGGGGAGGAAATCCAAACCTGTCTTCCCTGAAGCTCCCCCATGGCAGCAGCCCACTCGAATCGTTATTAGAGATGTTCCGGAACCTCCCGTTTCCAGCTGTCGTTGGAAGTTAATCTGGGGGGCCGGTGTTGTGGCATAGTGGACTAAGCGGCTGCCTCCCATATGGGCACCGGTTCAATACCCAGCTGCTCCTCTTCCGATCTAGCTCCCTGCTAGTGCACCAGGGAAAGCAGTGGAAGGAGACCTAGAAGAAGCTCTGAGCTCTTGGCTTTGGTCTAGTCCAGCCTTGGCCATTGTGGCCATTTGAGGAATGAACTAGCGGATGGAAGAGGTCTCTCTGTCTTCGCCCCCCCCCCCCCGTAACTCTGCCTTTCAAATAAATAAAAATTTTTTTTTAATTTAAAAAGAGTTTATTTGAATGGTTTCTCTTTAGGGGAAAAAAATGGAGTCTTAAGTGCATTTATTCAAATGTGTATATACACCCTAATTTTTTGTCACTAACAAGATATCACACAGTTCCGTGCAATTATGAATTTGATTTACAAATGGATATGTTCAGCACTTTTACGTCTATCTCCCCCATAACTCCAACAGAAAATGTTAAAAACAGAAAATGATAACAACTGACTAGGGCTTACCCTCACTGTAATCATGTCAGTACAGAGAAAATACACCTTGCTAACAGTCTAAGGGTTTGGACGATGGTCTTGCTTTCGTCTTACATGTAGGAAGGAAAAATACGACAGCATTCACTCAAATGTAACAGCAGACGAGAGCAAACACTTTTGGGACTAAACATAAAATCATAAGTTACAAAAAATATCTCCTAATTGTATTTTTGAGTAAAGAATAAAAGTAGGAAGGAGGGAAATATTCAATAGGCAAACTGACAAAAAATATATTAAAGAGAGCCCCATGGTTGGAAAGAATTTTTTTCACTGTCATTTTGATACGGAAGACACATTCTTGCAAACTAAGTGGCTTAAATATAGAAGGCAGAGCATGGCTACCCAACACCGGGCCGCCAGCTGCCAGCTTATCCCACTTGAGAAAATGCCACGCAGGGCTCTTTCCCATTTTGTCTGGACAGGAAGACAAATCTGCTAAATTTATTTCCTCCTTGGGGATAAAGTGAGACGCCACCCACTGATAACGCCTCGCTCACCTACGAGTACTTCCTTTGACTATTTTCAATGTTGGTAGATAGCTGTGTTTCCCAAGAGGGATGCTTGTGCCTGCTCTAAAGGCACAATTCATGGGACTCCCTGAGAAGCGTCTTGGAGCTGACGCCGAGGAGCTGGGACGGGACTGCCCCGCCTGCTCTCGGGTTCTGCCGTCGGGACCACGGAGCGGGCAGGAGGCAAAGACGCAGCTGTGCGACACGAGGCGGCTCACTGCCCACCCGAACATTAAGGCTCACCTGTGCTCATCTAGCCACAGGCAAGCGGCCGCAGGTCGGTCGCGTTGGCCTACCGCAGGGTCTGCACCCCGACCCCACTGGGACAGGCAGCCCAGGGAAGAAGCCTCAGCTTTCTGAAGCTGGGTCCCAGGGAACGAGAGGTCATTTCACAGCGGAACAGAGTACTTTTTTCCTCACGGGTACTCAGTCCCAGGATTGTCATTCTGTCCTGGGCACTGCGTCCTCTGCACCACACTACCCCACGAGCTGTTAGGTGAGCAGATACACAGATGCAGGTATGTGTCCTGAGCCCGGGCCTAGCACCGTCCTCTCCAGTTGGCTTGAGAGAGGCCTGGGAACACACAGGCCACAGATACGATGGACACAACCAAGTGCTCCACTGTTTACCCCACCCCCACCCCATCAGTCTGGACTTGGAGGCAAGGGAGACGTAGCTTCCCGTGGACAAACCCTTTGAGACTCCCCAGCTCACGCCGGGGCCCCGGGATGAGGAAGTCGAGGGTGGCGGTGGGGACCTCCACACCACTGTGCACCCAGGCCGCAGGAGGAGTGGGGAAGGCAGAGGAGAATTCCGGGGGGACGCGGGGGAAGGGCTCGGCGAGACTCAACATTCGTTGTTGTTGTGATTCCAGCAAAGCCCAGAGTTGAACCGACCTGTTCTCTCGGTCTTATCAAACTGCCCTCCTTAGTGCGGGGGCCAAATGTGCGCAGGGTCACACCTCAAAGCTACCACCGCTGGAGCAGAGAATTGCAGCAACCTACAAAAAAACAAGAATTGGAGATGTCAAAAGGTGGTGAAGACGGAAGATGATCCCATCTCTACTTTCCTCCAGTTAACTCCACCAGGAGTCACAGAATGCGATTACAAGCCAGCTGCTGGCACCGTGGCATACGGCACCCAGAGCTGCCCCAACACAGAGGCCGAGCGGGTGCGGGTGGGGCCGAACACGCCCTGCGCAGACAGAACCCCTCCTCCCCGACTCTCCAACCCCGCCAGCGTCGAGGGCAGCGTCGAGGGCAGCACAGCGTGGGAAGCAATGGCTGACCACCAACACCCCAGGGTGGATGGGAAGAATCAGACAGCACCCAGTGCTCGTGGCACCCGAGGGGGGAGTGACACGTAGGACAGGTCGTCCCATTCTCTCCCCAGGGAGGGGACGCATCCCTACCACGCGTCACGCAGGACCAAACGCGCACCTTCTCCTTTCTGCTGGGAGGTGCAGAGGACACCTGAAAGGGCAGCTGCCCGCGCGTGCTCCGAGGGCCTCCAAGTCCTGGGTGGCCCCTCTCCGAGCCGCAGCAATCGGCCGCGTCCTCCCTGGGTCTCAAGCCCAGCATCTCTGAGCTGCGCCCAAGGCTGCAAAACCAGAAGATTTCGCTGGAACAACCTCCTCCCGCCCGGCCCCAAGACAGCCACCTGTCCAGAAACAACTGCTTGGCGTACTTTCTCCCTTGGGCTGCCCCGCGGGCAGGTAGGACCCCCCTCGTGGGTCAGCCAGGGCTGGGATAACTCCAACTCCCTTGTACTGGAAACAGCTCCTCAACAGTTTCTCCAGCACCCGCTCAACCCCTCGCCACCACGCAGCTTCAACTCTCTATCCTGTCTTGGTGCCTTTCTCCTCTGAAGAGTTCCCAGGTCTTTAAAGCTACAGTAAAACGCCCCCACTTTACCCCAACATCTGCCTTTGGCAAGCCAGCTGGGCACGGCACGGTGAGAACCCTCGCTTACTTGACATGTGACCCACACTGCTGATCTGTGAATCACATCAACTCTATTAAGATCTGTAGGAAGTTCTCAGCAGTGGACAAACAAAACATCCTTTCAGCCCATCCCCACACATCTAAGCCTTCAGGATACCCACTGTAAATCAAGCACTTAAAAAAAAAAAAAAAAAAAAAGGAAAGTTTAGGGGCCGGTGCTTGTGGTGTTGCGGGCAAAGCCACCGCCTGTGACACCAGCATCCCATCTGTGCACCAGTTCATGTCCCAGCTGCCCCACTTCCAATCCAGCTGTTAATGCCCTGGGAAAGCAGCAGTGGATGGCCCAGGTGCTTGGGACCCTGCACCCATGTGGGATCTGGAAGAAGCTTCTCGCTCCTGCTTCAGCCTGGCCTGGCCCTGGCCATGGGGGCCATTTAGGGAGTGAACCAGCAGATGGGAGATTCTTTCTCTCCCCCCACTCCATCCTTCTCTCCGTAGCTATGCCTTTCAAATAAATAAATAAATCTTAAAAATAACTATGCCCGTCCATTCCCCATTAAAACTTGAACCTGCTTCCTCCATTTAATTAAAAAATTCTATTTCTTAAAAAAGTTTTACTTTATTTGAGAGGCAAAATGAGAGAGAAGGAAAAAACAGAGAAAGACAGATCTTCCATCTGCTGGTTTACTCCCCAAATGGCCACAAGGGCCAGGGTTGGGCCAGAGCCAAGAACCCCATCTGGATCTCCCACATGGGTGGCAGGGACCCTAGCACTCAGTCCATCTTCTGCTGCTTTCCCAGAAGCATCAGCAGGGATTTGAACAGGAAGCAGAGCAGCCGGGCTGCAAACCGGAGGCTGCATTCCCACTGGGGATGCTGGTACCTCACGTGGCGGCTTAACCCACTGCACAACAATGACAGCCCCTAAAACACTTTAAAAAAGGTGGTAGGTGTTTTGGCATGCTACTTTTAATGCTGCCTGGGACACCCACATCCCATACTGCAATGCCTGGGTTCAAGTCCCTCTGTGCCCGATTCCAGCTTCCTGCTGATGTAGCAGGCACTGGCACAAGCGGTTGGGTCCCTGTCACCCACATGCGAGACTTGATGAAACTGGCCCAGCCCTGTCTATTGCAGGAGTGAACCAGCAGAGGGAAGCTCTCTCTCTGACTTCCAAATAAAACGAATATTAGTAAATTTAAAAGCCACCAAGCAGTTTCCCTCAAACACACAGGGCACCACAGTGAAGGAAGAGAGGGTTATTTTAGAGGAAGAGAGACCTGACCTTGAGTGACCTGTCCATCCTGTGACCCCTGATGTAGGTCACACTTGAATACTGAGAGCACCTAATGGCCAAGCCAGCCGGGTCAGAAAGGTCACTCCCCCACTCGCTGTGGGTTCCACACAGAACTGGGGGAGTGGAAAAGCACTAAAGAGTTCCGGGAAGAAGCGCCAGGAAGCCCCTCACTGCCATACTACCCAACCTGACCTACCCGACCTGCTGCGCTCCAGGTGGCTCCTGTAGGTGAAATGCGGGCTTGGGTGGGTGGGTTTCCAGATTTGCATTCCCCCAGGCTTCCTGCTAAGCCCTGCAGAGGGCAGAGGTCCCTCTGGGGGAAGGCGGGGCGGGGAGCCCAGCCCCCAGCCCCTGAGGAGATAAGGGACAATGCTATGCAAAGCCAGGGAGAGAAGATTAAGGAGGCTGTCTCCAGGTCCAGCAAGATAGCAACCGGGAGATGGGAGATAAAGGGAAGACAGTTTAGAAGCCAAGGGCTGCATCCCAGCTTCTGAACACCCTAGGGGGACGAAAGCGAAATCTAAACTCTGTCCTCGGGATGTGGGGTGCAGTGAGGAGGAAGAGGGGGAGGATGGCCAGGCCCTGTGGGTTGCACAGCAGCTGACACAGGGCCGCAGCACTGAGCCTCCGTGCAGCTGCAAACGCCTGCCATGTCGCTCCCTGGAGCAGCCTGGCCAACCGGTCAGGCCAACCTAGGACAGTCCAAGACAGCCCAGGAGGAATTCAGACACTCACACGGCCCTGCGCTCCCAGGGAGCCGGGAAGGCAGCAGAGACAAGGACCCGCTGAGTCATGGCTGGGCTGCACCACACCAGACCGGCGATGGGCCACGGCCATGCCTGCTCAGCCCCGGCAAGACGGTCCCTGCTAACCAGGGCGGCCTCGTGCGTGCTCAGAGGGCGCAGGCAGCTAGGACAGTGGCTCCAAGCGCCAGGAAGTGGATGTGTTTCTTGGCTTGGGGTGCAGCCTGTGCCTTGGGTAGGGCGGCAACCCCAGCAAGTCACCCGCCCCACCCTGCCTCTGACTGGCATGGGCTCTGGGAGAGCTCAGGCGCAGAGCCGCACGTCGTGGGCACCCAAGCAGGCCCCACACGCGAGGACGCAGGACGCAGGCCCCAAGCACAAGGGGGGGCTGGGGGCATGCCAGAAGGTGACGAGGATTCCCCACCCACCCTGTGAGGCCAACCTGCATGCAGGCCTCCTCTCTGGTTGTCATGGGCGCTGCAAACCGCCTCCCTACCCTGGGTCCCTCAAGACCACAGCAAATGGTCACACTCTGGCCTCCATTTACCTTCTGGCCCTGGCTGCTCACAAACCCCTCCCTCGGGACAGGCGCCTACAATCCTCCCCAGCCCCCTCCCTGCTGGCCGCAGACCACGTGACAGCTCCTCAGTCCCCACTGACCCAGGACACACCTCCCTCCATCGGTGCCACGGCGCCCAAGCATCGCGGCTAACAATCTCTACATGCCCCACGCCACGTGCGTGGGCTCTTTAAGAGGATCGCGCCCACTGTACAGATGGGTCTAAGATTCCAGGGCTGTTACGTGGGAGAAGAACGTGAATGCCGCTGTGCACCCCAGCTTTTTCTGGAGGGAATGTGAGTCCAGGCACACGGGGCGTGAGAGCACAGACGCGCTCCCTTAGTCATGTTCTCTGACTTGCAACCCTCCTGCTCTGAATCATGACTGCCCTTGCAGTGCTGGGCGCCCGGCCCTCCACGCCTGCCTGTGTCCGGGCAGGAAGGCGTACCCCACCCCCGCCACTGCCCAGGATCTCCACCTCCGGCACAGCACACACACGTGTGCAGACACTGCCCCAGCTGTGCTGGGGCGGGGGCCCCTCCTGATGCAGCAGGGACCAGGAAGGGAGGCTAGGAGGCAGCCCCCAGGCTCTGCCTGAGATCCCAGACAGCCGGTCCTGTGCTAGAGCAAGAGGAAGTCGCTGGGTGGGGCAAGCGGAGACACCCAGCCCACCAGCAGCCTGGGCAGGAGGGCGGGGGCCAGTGCCACACTGCAGAGGCGAAAGCCATGCAAAGCAGATCCTACAACGGTCTGCCCTGGTCAGTGAGGTTAACCAAGGGGGAACCTGCCAGCGTAGTGCCACCAGAAGACAGATGCTCCGCACCTCACCCAGGGTCACAACCCGACAAACCTGCTGTCAGCTGAACAGCTCAGAAGTAGAAAACGGAGGTGACATCCCTGACCTCCGGCACGCTGGTTCAGGACCTTGGGGGTTTCACTGGTGACCATGGCGCTGACAGGCGTGCGGACTGGGGGGGCGGGGGCTGTACTCAGGGCCACAGCCCAGCACTGCCAGAGGGGATAGGCGCGGAACTTGCTAGCCAGGAAAGACGCGTGTTCCACATTCCAGAGCAGCTTCTGCCGAGGGTGTGCCGCCCCGCAGTCTGTTAGGGATGCAGGCGCTGGGGGCCAGCGCTGTGGTGCAGTGGGTAAAGCCTCTGTCTGCAACGCCAGCATCCCATATACGGGTGCCAGCTCCAGTCCCGGCTGCTCCTCTTTCCCATCCAGCTCCCTGCTAACAGCCTGGGGAAAGCAGTGGAGGGCGGCCCAGATGCTTGGGCCCCTGCCACCCACGAGGAAGACCTCAAAGAAACTCCTGGCTCTGGCTTCGGCCCTGCCCAGCCCTGGCCGTTCTGGCCATTTGGGGAGCGAACCAGTGGATGGAAGATCTGTCTCTCCGTAACTCTGCCTCTCAAAGAAAGAAGTCTTAAAAAAAAAAAAAAAGGAAGAAGAAACGCAGGTGCTCGGGCCCCATCCCAGATCCGCTGAGTCGGACTCCTCTGGCTGCGACCACTCTGCACGGAACACGCCCCAGCCGGGATTACCAGCTCGTGAGCAAGGGGGACGTAAAACCAAGGCGTCTCGGAGAAGCCTCCTTCCAGGAAGAAGTACAAAGTCGACGGAGCCAGATTCAGGTCACAGCCCCACAAGAAAATAACGAAGGGAAGGGAGAGTCCCCCGTGCAGGATCTATTTCTAGCTTTTTGGGGGGCAAGGACACGTCGCAGCTGAGCTCCAGGCCAGGCAGGGCCAGCCGGTGTGGGTGGCCAAGCCCCGGGTTCTGAGAGCAGGTAGGCCAACACAGAGCACCTGCCACGCTGCTGCTACCCAGACAGCTCCTTTAAAGGTGCCGTGGGAGGGCCTCAAGCCAGCACTTCTGGTGGCCCTGGACACTTTATCTCACCACACCCTCTCTGCTCCTCCCAGACAGCAAGAGGTGACCAGAGCATGACCTCCAGGGAAGGCAGCCCTGCGTACAGCCTGACAAACGGCTTCGGACATACCGCAACCCAGACAGCAGGTGCCCCCGCGGTCTCACCTAGAGCACACTCTCAGGGA